TGTGCGTTCGTGGTTTGTTAATTTGTTTATTATTTACTTATTTTGATTAATTTATTTTACTTCTTTTTGTTTATGTATGTTATTTTATTTCCGTTTATTCTTGTTCAATTTCAGTTTTCGATTTTTAAATATCGCAGTTAAAACATGGTTTACGTGTTTGCATTTTGCGATGAGGTCTGATCGTTTCTTTAGTAATTTGCTTAAGAGTAAAGAAGGGTTTTGAGGAAAGGATAAAGAAAAAAACGGGGATCAAGATCAAAGCAACAAAAGATGTTGATTGACATTACATTTGAATATTTTAAGATTATAGCTACCAAGGAAGCAAGTAAGAGGAAGGGAGTTCCACTGTCGGGAAGTAAGAGAGAAGAAGCTGTTGGAGTAGAAGAGGCGGTTATATTTAACTGTTTCGACAGTGAAAGGGTGGGACCGAGATGCCAACCTAGTAGCACGCTTAAATTCACGCAGTTGGGGCACCAGTGGAAGTAGCTCGTCATACTTGAAGAAAAGACAGAGGAAACCACATCACGTCTGTAAAAAAAGTGACTGGAATCGAGATTCCAGGTCAGGACCTATCACATTGCATATCCGTCTTTGGATGTTGTGGAGAACCTTGAGATGAACAGCGGGGATGGGGCAGACCATATATTGCAACAGTATTCAATGCAAGGACGATTGGTAGATTTGTAAATTTGAAGGATGGACTTAGACGAGAAAAACCTTCTGGCGCGACACAGAGAACCAACTTTCCTTGCGGTAGATGAAGCTATTGATTCAATGTAGTTGTTCCACTTCAGGTCAGTGGAAAACGTGAGACCAAGAAGGCGCAGAGAGGCGCTCTCGTGGAGTTGAGCATCAGCCACGCTCCAGGGAGATTTCTCTATGGTGAGTAAATGAGAGCAGTTTCGTTTTGGAGGCATTAAAGTTTACAAGCCATTTTCAGTCAACCACAGATTGTAGGTCCTTTTCAAGACCAACGGCCAGGTTAACTTTGTCAGCAATGCCGGATTTACTACTGAGACAGAAGGTAATCTGAAATGATAAAAAAGAGATAAATTAAATTATGGGATGGAATAAAAGAAAATTGGCATTTTCGATTAATGTATTTACGTTATTTGTTTTTTTGTTTGTTTTGTTTTGTTTTACGGCGTATCAACTTCAATGGGTCATTTAATGCTGACAACTTTTTTTTTTCTGGTAATATTTTTGTTTTGTCAAAAATCTATTTCTGTTAATATTGTTTTCCTCAAAAATGTATAGCTGGTAATATTATTTTTTCAAAAATATATAGCCGGCAACACTATTCTTAAAAAAAAAAACAAAAAAAAAACGTACCGCTGGCAACATTATTTTTTCAAAAACGTATTATCAGAGGCCTTGCTGTTGGATATAGTTTATCGTCTTACTCAGGACGCAACGTTATTTGTCGACTCAAAATTAAATGATTTAGAAAGAAGAAATCGTCTACACTTTCTTTTAATACAAACCACGTAATGAGCCTATAAGTTTTATCTAGAAACATTCCAAAGAATTCTGGTTCTTTTCGTTGGAATGTTTTAGCGAAGTCTTTCTGTTCCATGTAGTATCATGTTTACTGACTGAAAGGGGAAAAAAAAAACAAACTGATCCTTTAGTCTTGAAAAGGCTTAGAGATTTATTTTTGCGAGGGGCGAGAATTTCCCCCACCGTCATATATGAAAATTCCTGGGAAACTTAAAACGCGTCTTATTCCTTATTACCCTTGACTCGTTTGTTTTACATTGTTTTTTTTTTAAATTTTTCTTTTAATGTTTTCGTAAATTAAATTTTTAGTTGAAACTCTAGAAGACTGCCGACCCAAATGAAAAGTACAATGGCAAAAAAAGAAAGAAAGAAAAAAATGCAATTAAATAAGACTTATTGAGAGCCAAAAGGAATTTTATGGAACCCTTATATCTGTATGTCTATCAAGAAAGTATCAACTGATATATATATATATATATATATATATATAACTATGAACCTAAAGAGCCAGGCAAACCTACCCAGGTTTTACCTACGCGGATCGTCAGGGTAGCTTATTTTTCCTGGGATATTGGTTTGTTCATTTACAAGCCAAAACACCTAAGGTTTTTCCAGACGAGTATAATTATTTATATCTATAATATTTTTATATTTATATATATATATATATATATATATATATATATATATATATATCGAAGTGTAAGGGTTCAGCAGTTAAGCACCACCGCCTGAAGATGCACCTACAGTGGTGAAACATGATTGCATCTATGTAGCGGTCTATACGATGGTTTTTTATTTTTAATTTTAATTAATATATATATATATATATATATATATATATATATATATATATAAAATAAGCAAAAATATAATAATCGGCTACACGTTTTCGGCCCTACCCGTCTGGTAGGGCGGCTAACTAATCCCTGTTGCAGACACCACGCTCAGACACATTTGTGTTTATTCAACACTCACAAAGCCCACCTGTGGTTTATAC